TCTACCCAAGGTACATATACACCAAGTATCAAAGCATTCAGGCTTGTAGTTTTCAAGAAGAAGTCGAAAAAGTAAAACATTGACACGGACGACGGACGACGGACGACGACGACGGACGACGACGGACAATCAGTCATATGATAAGCTCCGCTCGACAAAGTCGACAGCTGAGCTAAAAAAAACTGTTTGAGGGCGTTATTACCTTGCCGGGAAGACATTATTTTCATATTGTCCTTTTATGTTGCCAGCAGGTAGATAATGACCGACAATAAAAATCTTTCCATCAGCATTCTTTGTTTTACCAATCCCGAACTCCGTACTGCTCTTCCACACCATCTGTGTGAAATGTCCTAATTTAAATAAACACGTTGAAAATAAAAAATAAAAAAAAATAAAAAAAGGGCAAATAATTTTCAAATAAGTTACGACTTCGTTCAGTCACCGTGGCAGATAACACTTTGATGAGATTGCTATCCCATGGTAAATGTATGTATCGGTACGTTTCTTCGAAAGAAAAACGAATAAATTAGAAGCCTATTCATAAATAAAACGACAATGTTCATTGGGTTATTATTTACTGCCATGGAGCTAGTGCCTCATGGCACCCTGAAATAGCATTTTTTGTAGTTTCAAAAATCGCTACTTTTATAACAATTCCATAAAACATAATGTTTTGATACAATACGTTAGGCCAGCAAAAAGAAATCCATCAGACACAATATATAATTTTTTCAGCCTATGTCACCAGCCTATAATTTGATATATGGTACAATATCTGTGGTATTGAAACGTTATAATACTGACAAAATGGCCACTCTGTCCTCTAACATACAACATCATTGTCTCGGAATTTAAGCTGGTGAACCCCAACTTTTTTAAGTCAATATCATTACATTGCCCGGGGAACATTTATTGCAAAATGAATAAATTTTCAATATTTTCTATTATAGGTAGACTTCTACTTTAACTTACTCCTACCATTCATATAAATAGCGCCATCGCGCGACAAATCACTCAAATGACATAATAATGAGAACAAGGAACGTTGTTATTTTCCCCGTCAATATCTTTTTTGATCTGAGGTCACCAATCAATAAAACAGATCTTTCAAAAATTCTATTATGCTCGCATCCTAAATTACGGACGACTACACAACCAAGTTATTTACAAAATCGTGTCTAATTGGCTGGCCAACCCTAACACATAGCAGTCAGACCAATCAGATAGCTTATTAGTGGACAGGTTTTTCAGGCGTATCAAATTCTGCCTAAGATATAAATAAGCTTTGACTCTACTGTAAAACTGGGAATCTTTGAGTTTGGTGATTACATAGGCGTTACACCATAATGAAATTATTTGTTTGTACGCAGGGAAATAAAGGAGTAATTTTGTTCTCCATGATGGCCGCCAATACGTGTTAATTTATAGAAAGTACAGCGAAACCCCGTTTGGTAAGGTTGGGTATCCAAATCACCGTCCCTCAACACCTGAGGGACGGTGCTCAAATGTTCCAATCAAATTAATATAATGGTGTATAACCTTTCAACTATGATATCGGATCAGCGGCAGCACACATACATCCATTCAACGGAAGTAGACTTGGACTGTTTACAATGATAACGGCGACAGATATATCTTACGATGGTAAGGCGTATCTGGTGGCCATGCACTAACACCCAGTAAAGTAATATTGGGCTCAAGGTCATGGCTAGCTGCAGAGCTCATTCATTCGATGATGAAATGAAACAAAATTCTTTAAAAATCCGAATTCTGAATGAACACTAATAATTGTGAACTATATGATAAATTCCTTGCAGGTGCAATGTGTATATAATAATAAATTTAAATTATATCGATAGATTGGCCGACTGTAAATATAACTGTAATATAACGTCAGCATTTCAGTTTCTATCATGATATATTGACGACTACCACAGCTGTTATTTACGATGTCCCGGATGTTGGTATCACGTGGTATAGAAACGTTACAAGACAGGTATGCCGTAATTAAGTGCGCGGGGTTATAGTTATTGTCATACTCACTATTGCCAAAACAGTGTTTTATTAAATGGGAAGTTTAGTTTGTACATGGTATGATTGGGCTCTGGGAAGAGAATTTGAGGAATAGTATCGAAATGAACAACCCGCGTTTTTTTATTGAAGTAATTTTATTGGGAATGTCGACAGATTTAATTAAAGAAACTGTCAGATGATTGTCACGTGATCACAGTTTTATCTTTATTTTTATTCATGGAGCTCCATGCTCTATTGTTAACGAGACTGTGTTGTACCATAGACTCTCTTTCTAAGGTCTATAGTTGTCGTTGTGTCGTCACCGGAAGCGCTGTCCCAGCACAAACCTGTGTCATATGACGCCTCACTAGCCGATTTTGGCTAAAATTCCGCTCCGCCGCCTCTTTATAATAGTATTCATACGCGGAACTTGATATTGCTTTTTACAATTTGGGTTGCCTTTGAATCACATATTTTAGTGAAATATTGTTTATAGAGTGAAATATTATTGTCATACATAATTCAATCTTTGAAACAACAGAAACTAACACATAATAACGATAATCAAATTTGTGTTTGAAGTTCGAAAGTAGTTGCGTTATTTCCGGTTTCAACTAGCTCGAAAATAGAACGTCCTTGAGCGCAATAAAATCACGCGTAGAACTCCATCCGAACCAGACTCTAGCAGCGTAAACTTATTGCAATTTGCGCAATTTGGGCCCAGTTTGATCTTACAAGTTTTCTAAGTTTCATTTATCATTATTTAGTAAACAGGTCTCTGGAACGATTAAATATATCCGTAAAATACGTGCCAATCGACGATTGACTTCGAAACGTTCGAAATTTCGAACAAACTCCCGGCACACCTTGCGCGATATGCGTCAGATCGGTGTAGAAGACGCCGAACTACAGCGTCAATGCTATAGTTGTAGCTTGGGAGCAGCGAAATGCATGCCGGTAGACCATAGACCGAAAACAAGAAGCTATGGGTATGAGCACTTATACTAGTGGATATAATTATCAATTCGACACGCGATCAAATTTTAGGAGGCAGATGCTTTACACAGCCAGTCACTGCAATCATCGCTGAAAGAATGACTGAAAATCACAGATATTCCAGTATGATACGAGCAAATGAAGATTCAGTCTGAAATCACGTGGTCTGAAATCTAGCCTGACAAGGTCGCGTGAGTTGCGCCCTCCGCGGTGCTCCAAACCCAACATGCCGTTCGGCCGGCGAGGGCGTCAATCGCGCCTACATGTCAGGCTATCCGAAATCGTGCTGCGGTCATTATTCAACTGAAATGTCCTCCTAACACAACCCCGTTGTAGTAGTTTGGTGGTATATTTCGGTCTCTTTACCGGGAACTGAATAGAAATGTTCACTGTTAATATTTAGGAAATACATGTAGATACACCAGTCTTTCACTGTAAACTATCCCCGAATCAAGTGTCGGTTTAGTGTTCCTCGTAACAATGGCAAGAGCCAAGGGCAATAACTACAGCCAATTTCACTTTCAGCCAATCATTTCGCTTAATTATACGCGTTTCAATCTTGCTGAACGCCGGCCTGAACAGAGAATGAATGTTTTTTTCAGGCAACTTCACATCACTTCAAATGTTTCAATATTTGTAAATGTTTTTTTTTTCAATTTTTATCTTTGATTTAATTTTTCGAGAAATGAGGCCATGAAAACAACTTTCTCTACAACGTTTTAAAACATGTGTGTTTATATAGAAGGATATACGGCTTCGGACACGGTGATTAGTATTTTTTTTCACGTGCATTCAAGTTACAAATTGAAGTTGGTTGACGCAATATCGTAGTGGTTAAAAAAAGTAACATTTTAGGATTTTGTATTGTGGCGTTATATCTAGAGTCAAAGACATATAATCAAGATTAAGTTTGAAAGATGGGTCATGGGTCATGGGTCATGGGGCTCGGAGACATATGCATTACAACTTACGTGCACTGCATTAAACAATACCACCAGACAGAATAAAATAAAATAAAATATATAATTACGAATCTGCTGGGAATAATCAATTAGTACAACTCATCATCAATGAATATTCGGTCATTGACATATTAAAAAAAAGGCTTCTATTTTACGTTTAATAATTAAAACGGCAGAGGTTCGATGATCTCAGGTGCATCAATCAAATTTAAATTAGAATACTTGTTTACCCCAGGGTCTGTCTGGATTATTGACATTCTCCACAAAACATGTCAATTGACACGTAATGTATTTGGAGATGGGAGGATATTTTCACTGAGGTGACTGGATGGAAAATTTCGGAAAGACTATATTTTCATGTGCTAGTCAAAGTGTCGTTCATTTCACTGTGAAATGTGTATGGACTCTCGGGCACTATTTCCCATCATGCATTTAATCTTTCAGTGTCGATCTTTCTCTAAAAAATGTCGTTTTTTATTATCTATTTCTAGCCGCCCAGCGTATATATTGGTTCGACCCTTGGCGTGGGCGTCATGCACTATCCGTCTTTATGCACGCTCGTGTTCATCGACGAGGCGGGAGCTAGCCGACCGCATAAATGATGAGACAGTTTCCATGGCGACGGGAATCCTATTGTTAGGTTACTCCGTGTCATAACGGTGCATGGTATTGCTAATAAACTGTCATCATTCAGGTACACTATATTTGTTTCACGTTATTGAGTTAATGTTGCGTCGCGAGTAACAACCGTTGCTAAGAGATAGTGTCTAGACTCTGAATCCGAGAACTAATTGGGAAAATATAAAGAACGACGAATGTGATGTGAATAATAATCATCCTTTTCACGTCATAATCGACATATATGTGTGTTCTTTAAAAAAATAATGGTGAAATTCAAGAACTAAGCTCCTATGTCTATTCTGAACGATACTTTCACTATTTGCACCATTAGTTGACATTATGATAATTGCCCAATTGAGAACTATTAAACGAGTCAAATTCCTCAATTTGTCGTGGAATGTCATACACTGTCTGTTAAAGTCGCGTCGACGGGTACTTGTAACAAACCACTTGCTTGGGTTTATTATCGCGGGCAACTAAAACAAAACAAATATAATTTCGTTAATTTCCAGGAAACGACGCTCTTTCTCGCGATCGCTTGGCGGTGGTGGCATTTGGTCACGTGATTCGCATTCGAATAAGCTCAATTCGTCTCTGTAGGGAACTGAATTATTCATTGCCAAGATGATTCATCATAATCATAATGAGTGTCTGTCGAATGAGAACAACTAAATGTTATATACTACCTATATCAGATCAATGTCACATCACTGTCCATCAAAGTCACGTGATTTAAAATGCATCTCATTCAGTAAGTCTTAGTGCATGATGTGTACCATATATCGCTAAACACAAAATACACGTACTAGTATTCATTTTTGGAATACTTTTGGCGTATCTGTCGAAACGTTTCGTCAATTTTAATTATTAAGAAATTTATTGTAATTTGTCTATTGCCTAGCAGTCCTACGTCACTAATGACGTCGTATATTTTGAGTAATTGTATTACCTCCTGCACCCCACACTGGATTATCAAAGTCGTACTTCTTGTAGTCTTTGTACCACATAATAGAAACGTCCTTGCCTGAAATTGACAATTAAATTAACATAAAATTAGCATATTTAACGTAATATTATAGATTCATTATTCTGGGTGTTTTTTTGTTTTTTTGTAAATATAAATGCTAGTGGGCCCTCGTAGGTTAATGTCCTCGGCGATGAAAGGGGCGTCACGTTATGAGCTGTTATCCGGGACTCTCTAAAACATGCTAACAGAGTGGGTGACAATATCGTCACGGTGTACTCCAAAATTATTTTCCCGTCATCCAGAAACACAATCAGCGAATATTTGAAAAATGAACTCAGTGTGTCCTCGTTTTTTCCATCGTATTAACATGTTTGAAAATAACCAGTCTAAATAATTCAACCTTTTTTGAGCCATCTGCCGCTGCATGTGACGCAATTACTAGTATGGCACTACTGCAATGACGGCCATTTTGAACACTCGTACAGTCCGTCATCTCTACATACATAAAAAATGAAAAATCCGAAATCCACCAACCTCACCACTTACAAAATCGCGGTTAAATACTATTAGCAGAGAACAATACCAGAGAACAATACGTAAGAACTATGCTCATATACAATGCGTATCGTACTCGTTAAATTTACCGACGTGACATCATCACGTATATTAGTGACAACGTGCCTGGGCAACGGTGTTGTTCGTTAGTTGTGGCGATTAATAATATTGCACATCACTCGTCGGCGTTCATGAGCGCGTACCACGTTTAGAGCTGAATGACTCTTCAGTAAGTTCATGTCGTTCGCCATTCATGTGACGTTAACAAGCTTTCGAATGTAGGTAAGGGGCGTTAATGGAAGGTGTTCTGAATAGCTTATAATGTAGTGGGAAGCGAGGGATGGAAACCCGAATATTAATTTTGGCCAGAATTATTGTTGGAGATATTATTGTATGTAGATTATCGATATCCATATTACCATATGTCGCGTGTAAGGGGCGTGGTGCTTATTTAAAAGTCGGTTCTCCCGTGGACCCTGCAAGATTATGGTTCTCCGCGCTGCGTTCATTGACTTTGTACTTACCAGACATATCATAGTCCCCACTGCCGCTCCCAGAAGCGCAGTTCTCGCCGTACTCTGTTTTGTCACTGTGTTCAAGCGTTCCCAACTTAGCAAGTTCCTCCGCCCATTTCTGGGCATCTGCCGCGATAATCTGACTGTATTTCAACTCCGGCACCCCGTGGCGTCTTCGGTACCGGTTATGGGTTTCCAGGGCTTCTTTCTCAAATTCGTTCATCTTGGAGCTGTATTTTACCCAAATAAAAAACAGGTCAACACTGTCAAAACTTCAAAAAGGCTAATGTACAATTGATAAACGTAGTCTGTTCAGGTCTTCTGGGGCAGTTTGTGTATCAATCGGGTTAAACCTTTCAGTGGTTGTACGATCGATCACGGCGCGCCCACCAAAATGTCAACTCCACTTGATTAATCGTTGTTGTTGAATAGAGTTGGAAACTGACAATGGGTTACTTTACCTTCAAGCTTGATCGCAATATGTTGGACTTCGCTAACGCTCAGACCGCAACCGTGACGGCAGTAAAAATTCGCACTGTGTGATGTGTGTGGTATACCTATTAAAGCAGGTACAGGGGGGTATACTCCTATGACGCAAAGAGCAAAGCCCGGGGGCAGTGATGGCAGTCGGCCTTGTTCACATCATTATATATTTTCCAACAACTATTTCCGGCGGAGATTCGGATAAGTTTAAAATGTTAAATATCAAATACATGATATCAAAGTGTTGTATTCATGTTGCCAGACTCACTGATTAATTCAGTGGGACACACAGACCATTTCGGGTGAATTTGATGATGACGTCACGGTGTTGTTATATATTACTATTTTAGTAATCTTTATATTACTTGGGCGGGGGGGGGGGTCTATTTTTGTTATCACTTCAAACCGGTTAATAAAGTTAGCAATTTATTATCCATTGTTTTATTGTCGTTATTGTTAGTCTTTCATAAGCAGGATTTGCAGATTTTTTTCCGTTTGAATAATAAATAACCTTTAACGGTGTTTATGATCGGTACATGCACACTTGCAAGCACATCGTTTCCATTTCATTAGCGTGTCATCTCTCGGATTTAAAACCACAACTCGTTTAACCAGTCACGATCTTACACATCGGAAACACTTTCTCCATTCAGATTAGAAAAGGATAGATATAGCTGAATAAATGTTGGCGAGGCGAATATGATTAGATATATCGGCGGTGGATCAGGTGGAGTTCATTGCTCGTGAGCCCTAGCCCTGAAAGACGGCTGGAACTCAACGACCATTAACAATATTATTTTCCCTCAGTTGTTCCGGACGAGTGCTAAAGAATACGGCATTCAGCTACAAGTATAAGCCGATGTGTTTGTTTTGCTTTGCACTGTCCTCGCTGACAATGCAGTGTTACATAGATCATTGTGTTGGAGTGTCAGAGATCAATCCACAACCTGGTCGCCAAGTACTGTGTTGTTTGATGGGGTCAGCGAAACCTTGCAATAAAAAGTAGAATGTGAAGGGAGGGTCTAAGTATGGGTACGTGTGATTTTAAGTCTTCTTTTAAAGCGTGTTCGAATTAATGTATTTGACAGGGGTTACATACACACGGGTCCCGTCAGATGCCGGACACGATGAAACTGAACGACTAGGCCAAATAAATTGTTTTGTTGCTCTCAGCGACCGACCGAAAAATATGAAATATCGGGTCGCGTTTTTTTTTTTAGGTCCAAATATTAAAAACTCACCATTTTAAGCAGTAAAAAAGTGTTTCCTCTAAATTCAACGATCCCGGACCGTTGTTTGATCCCCAGGGTCCCCGGAGGGATAAGTGGCGACTTTGAAACTCGGGTTGATCTGTATTTCTCTGACATGTTCCGAATACTATGAAGTCTGAAGAGCAAACACTTCTTTTGCATTTCAGGCCATTTTGACATTTGCGAGTCGACGGATAGTTGGTGCACAATATTATAAATATCGCTGCACCAAGTATTTTCCTAGTTGAATAAAAACATTATTTTGAATCAAAAACAATACGTTTGTTGTAGTAAATATAATTTTTAATACATGAAATGCACAAAATTTTATTGAATTTACAAAACGTGACATTTTATATTAAAACTCTCATCCGCTTACATCACAAACAAAACGACGGCTTTTGCACGTTGCTTTAGCGCTGTCAGTATTCTCACTTCCGGGTTTGTCATCGTGTGTACGTACATGTGTACAGCGATGGCGAACAAGTTTGATGTCTGCATGACAGCTAAAGCTGGGTCAACTATTAAATTTAGCAAAGTCGCGTCGCTTAAAAAAAATCCGACCGACCGACCCAATTTTTCAATTTTCCGACTTGAGGGAAACATAAGTTTTTTTTTTGCCCTATGGTACATTAATCTTTAGGTGCCACGGTGGCACCAGTACTAGTCGCATAGTGTTGGTGGAGTCTAACCCATTACAGTAGGTATTCTATTGTATACTGTGACAGCCCACTATATATATTCACTCATTCACCACCCACATCGTCCTTACATCCAAAAAAATGGGGCAGTTGTTTTAATTAATGGGTGCATATCGCCTTACAATAAGTAGATCAATGGTAGAAGCTATCCATATTGCCTAAGCTGTTACAACTTAACTGGAGCGCGAATTTGAGTATTAGACTTTGGACATTATCGATTCAAAGTTAACCCGCACCCACACGTAAAATTTGGACCAAAGTGAGCAGAAAAACAAAGTCGTAAACTTTGTTTTTTTGTTACCCATCAATCCTAGTAACAATACCAGGTACAGCCAATAGAGCTGTCCATTGGGAAAGCTGTTCAAAGCGATTTTTGTTGAGGGCAGGGGATTTTTTCTATTTTTTGTAGGTGGCGGGAAATATCAGTACCCCCCTCTCAGTGGGCAGAGCAGATTTCTTTAAAAAATGCAAGGACAGGGAAACTGTTTTTAGTGGGTAGGGTACTTACATAAAAAAATATCGCAGGGTGGGCAAAACAGCCTTTAGGGCAGGGTATAATAAAAAAACGCATTGGGGGAAATAACATCTGCTAAATGTAGGCAGCCGTGTGCTATCAATAACTGAAAATGCGAGTCACCCACTGATCTGCTGAGTGGTTAATGTATTCAAGAAGCCCATAGAAACAATGACTCGATGAATTACGCCACCAATCAGCACAGCAATGTAGGTTCTGTCACTGTGAATATTCACCCGGGATATTCACAAACATTCTACTGCAAGCAGTGTAAGTGAGGAATAGAGTTTATAACAGTTGTCATCACTTTGAATGTACGAAGTTGATGTTACACTTCGGCAGCGGCTGTCTGACCTTTCATAAGTGTCTGACCTTGTAAAGATGTGACACAACCCATAATACAGTGTCACACGGGGAAGGCAACACAACAAGAGAAGAGCAGGGGGAAAAGCGCTTATTAATGAGGGGAGGGGAAAGATGAATTTGGTCAGCAGGAGGGCAAGAAAAGCAGGTTGGCGGTGGGGGAGTAGGCAAAAAAGTGTATTTTAATGAGGGCAGGGGAAATTTATTGCTCGTTGGCAGCACCTGCAATACGATATAACACCATACAATACAATGACCACCCATACATATACACACTTTTTATGACATTTTGTGCGGAATGATTAAATGAACCATCTCCGAAATGTCAACGTGTATTTGCTGTAAACGACAATGACATGACGTAATGTCATTTAACTAGTCACAGAAATTTAACTAGTCAAAAAGGTTGCAAAAGTTTCCGAATACACGCGATAGACTTTCACAACTCGTAGACGGGACTTTCTTAAGCGGTGGCGATCGTCGCGCCACTCATGCGCGAGATATGGGTATCATATAAACAAAGATGGCGACTTGCGCAGACCAACGAGTACGAATGATGCCAGGGAGTCCCTGATGATGATCACGTACCCGGGGTCACGTATTTCTTCAGCCTGGTCTGCTCGAAAACGGTGTATAAATATATTCTATAAGCTAACTATGTGTGCTAGTTACCTTTCCCATGTTTCCGCACAACCACGAACATTTAATGACTTAGAGACTTTGAAACAATTATGCCGAGCCTATTATTTTGGCAATGTGAGTTCGATTATGTCACGTGACTATAATATACTATTATTATACCCGTATTTCAATCACCTGAATGATTGGTCTATCTTTGTGAACATTACGGTCTTTTACTGTGAACATTTTGGCCCACCACTGTGAACATTTTGATCCATCACTGTGAGCATTTTTGTCTACCTTTGTGAACATTTTGGTCCATCTATGTAAACATTTTGGTTTATCTCTGTGAACATTTTGGTCTATCTTTGTAAACATTTTGGTTTATCTTTGTAAACATTTTGGTCTATCTTTGTAAACATTTTGGTCTATCTTTGTAATTATTTTGGTCTATCTTTGTAAACATTTTGGTCTATCTTTGTGAACATTTTGGTCCATCTATGTAAACATTTTGGTTTATCTCTGTGAACATTTTGGTCTATCTTTGTAAACATTTTGGTCTATCTTTGTAAACATTTTGGTTTATCTTTGTGAACATTTTGGTCCATCTATGTAAACATTTTGGTTTATGTCTGTGAACATTTTAGTCCATCACTGTGAACATTTTGGTCTATCTTTGTAAACATTTTAGTTTATTTCTGTAAACATTTTGGTCCATCACTGTGAACATTTTGGTCTATTTTTGTAAACATTTTGGTTTATCTCTGTGAACATTTTAGTTCATCACTGTGAACATTTTGGTCCATCTATGTAAACATTTTGGTTTATCTCTGTCAACATTTTGGTCCATCACTGTGAACATTTTGGTCTATCTTTGTAAACATTTAGGTCTATCTATGTAAACATTTTTGTCTATTACTGTGAACATTTTGGTCTATCTTTGTGAATATTTTGGTCCATCTATGTAAACATTTTGGTTTATCTCTGTGAACATTTTGGTCTATCTTTGTAAACATTTTAGTTTATCTTTGTGAACATTTTGGTCCATCTATGTAAACATTTTGGTTTATCTCTGTCAACATTTTGGTCCATCACTGTGAACATTTTGGTCCATCTATGTAAACATTTTGGTTTATCTCTGAACATTTTGGTCTATCTTTGTAAACATTTTGGTTTATCTCTGTCAACATTTTGGTCCATCACTGTGAACATTTTGGTCTATCTTTGTAAACATTTTGGTTTATCTCTGTCAACATTTTAGTCCATCACTGTGAACATTTTGGTCTATCTTTGTGAATATTTTGGTCCATCTATGTGAACATTTTGGTCTATCTATGTAAACATATTGGTTTATCTTTGTGAACATTTTGGTCCATCTATGTAAACATTTTGGTCTATTACTGTGAACATTTTGGTCTATCTTTGTAAATATTTTGGTCCATCACTGTGAACATTTTGGTCCATCTATGTAAACATTTTGGTTTATCTTTGTGAACATTTTGGTCCATCACTAAATATTTTGGTTCATTATGGAAAACAATTTGGTTCATTTTCGCGAATTTTGGATACAATAGTAAATCAAAAATGGATACCTTTTTCCCTGGTCCCGTATTTAAGATCTCAAACATTTGGGCAAGGATGAATAAATTACCTTTTGTGATTGTATACTTAAAATTATTTTTAATCTAAAATAACTTAATAGTTATCTATGTACTGACAGGTAGTAGGCATCTTAAGACAATAATAAATCATACCACTGAAAAGAAGGTAAAAAAACGGTAGTGGGGGGGGGGTCACTGATCAAAGTAGGAGTTTCTAATCATCCTAGATCTAAATATATGTAACTCAAAATATATGACGGAAAATGGACCATCACTAATGAGTGGGAGGGTGATTTAATACGAAATTGAAGTTGATCGGGTCAGTCCACGAACTGACGTCACACTTTTCAAATTCGCCGTGGGGCTTTCGAGAGTGCGATGGAACCCACAGATGAGTTACAGGTCCATTACTAAATAATAATGTCCTGGAAAGACTTACTATATTCTAAATTTACATTTTGAACGGCATTGCTTCTACTAATTAAAAACAAATGTCGTATAGTACAAGACGAACAAATTGTGTATGACATCGAATGTTTGTATTCAATAAAATCACATCAACGATAAAGTATTTTTTTAGAATTATATGAAATTTTTTCGGAATGATAATAGTAGAATGATAAATAAAAACATAGTGGAACACAGAAAATAATATATATAATTAATTACAATTTATCAACCAAAGACTTAAATAATAACACTGGAATCCTGAGAATCGATATAGCACAAATAACAGTGCTAGTTGCGAAAATTAAAATAAAACTCAACACACTAGAGCATCGGATATTGAATCCAGACGATGGACTTAATGAAGGTATCGACATGGGATACCAACATCGAAAATCCCTACAAATATCCCACCGTCGGTAAGTAGACCGAAGAAAATGCACCAGCCTGAGCGCCATCAATGGCCACATTGAGAAAAATGATTTGGCGGTAATGTAATAAAATAAGTTCCTCTAAGGTTTAAAATAGTCATTAATAATGACAGAGCTTGCTGTATAGACATTGTTAAAAAACTAGATAAAATAAAAGAACACTTTCATAACTAAACAAATGGCGAAAATGGTGCAAAATAAAAATAAAATGCCGCTAAGCTATGGTCACACTACACGTGACGCAATATCAAATATATTAGCAAAGCTAAAAATAATGCAATTCAAAGTAAACTCCCTGCTATTTTAGCATCTTTATATAATACGTGCCAAGAAACGACACGTGTGAAAAACTACACTGTTAGTATGCAAATCATAATTGTGCCTACGGAAAAAAAGAAAAATTTCCATTTTTGAATGAATTTCGGATAAACTGGATTCTCATTTGTTGACACAGTCCCCACAATAAGGATTGTCGTTCTTTTTGAAGAAAGATTCGCCTTCCAGTGCTTTCTTGCAGCCCTGTGGTATAAAATAAAAAAAAACACGGAATTTTGAATTATTCATCTCTTTCACAGTAATAATAAGTAATAATAAGTAATAATAAATATGAAAAAAATGATAAATATCAACTCACAGCACATTTGAAGCATCCAGGATGCCACGGCTTATCCATTGCCTCGATCCACTTGGTCTCCAACTTCTCTTTACATCCGTGACATTTTTCAGGTTTACTCTTACCGCCCATGAATAATTTCTCGTAGTCTGAAACAATAATGAAGCCAGAATGTTGTTAACTGCGCATGCGTAGTGACGTGGGATTGTGGATCTGCGTTGTGATTGGTCAGTAGTATTTTAATTTTGATCGTGATTGAGGCTGCTCGGAGAACCATGGACGGTCCTTGATCTATGATGTGTAGACGTTGCACCCTGGAAATATTCTGGAAAAACGGATGAACAAAATAGTTCAAAACTTTGCTTGTTAGATTATTGCCGTGACTCACCTTTCTTACAGTACGGCTTGCCATCTTTCGGTATGAATGGTCCATCGAATGGCTTCTTGCATTCTGTGCAGACGAAACATTTGGCATGCCACTTCGATTCCATCGCACTGATGATTTCCTATATACATGAACAATATATTTTAATATTTTAATATCTATACGGCTCGGGTAAGCGCAGGTTCAGATGACCGTCGACTACGGCTCGGGTGGCTCAAGCCTTGTTTCTCGTAATTCGAGATACTCACCCCTATGACTGGGTCGTTGCAGCCAGCACATTTTGAAGCTTCCTTCTTTTTATAACAATCTTCACACATACAGCGTCCATCTTTTGTCTCGTAGTATTTTGTAATTTCGTTAGTACAGCCAGCGCATTTCAGTGGACCTCTGCGAATAGAATTGAATGTTATTGTATGACACCGTTGTGTGTGGGGGTAGGTCACTGGCGAATGAGTGTAAGGAGAAGTCATTCACGTCACACCACTGGACACTGTAAAGTAATAGTAAATTTTCACAGAAAAAGAACTTAAACTACATTTTATTGAGCTACTTGTATACCCAAAAAGCAAATACACAATTACAGGCTTGCACAAGAAAATATCTCAGTTATAATACAACATTTATTTTAGCTAATCCGCGAGTTCGCTATGTTGCTAATTTATAACACGGAATGTCAGTGGGTTTCGCAGTACTCGGTATCTTATATTAAGATGGCGAACGAACTAAGATGGTGGATTTGATGACGTACTTTGACTGAATATATCTAGTTACAATAACATTCAAATGGTGTAGAACGACTCACTGATTAGTAACTAAAAGCTAAAATCAATTACTATGGGACTTACGTCTTTTTTTCACTGTTGCCTTTAGCATTACCAGCACTAGGGGGCGATTTAATGTCGGCGAGAGAACCAGTCCTGAAAACACAAACACATGGTGATTATTGAGTATTTCAAAGATACACCACAGCAGGTGATAATCATCGTCGTAAAACACTGCCTCTTTGCGGCAGCCGGTTGTGACGATTCCGTTATAATTTGCATACTGACATCTGTGCACACTCGGGGGAAACATTTGTAAGTTATAACCACGCATACAATTAAATTCTATTCAACAATTTAACACCCCCTCTCTCCGAGACACACTCCAAACAACTCATACTGTAAGCGACATATCGCATTGTGCTCGCGTTTTTTACAATTTATGGCACAAAATTATGGATTTAATCACTTACCCTTTGATTACGTTAACTGCAAAATCTCTCATCATGTTACCGGCCGGTTTATAGTTGGCAACGATGTAAATACGACCCTTTTTAGACTTGGCCTTACCAATACCCATCTCTTTCGTTGCCTTCCACACAACTTGAGTGAAGTGACCTTAAACACAATTTACATTTATCATTACACAGCTCACTGTTACCCAATGTTAGTTCATTTATTTAACACTTTCCAGCAGACAGCTCATCAGTATAGACTCAACTCAATTTCTTTCTAGTGGCGGAAATGCACAAACGTACACAGGGATACATATGTTTTGCCATGGACAGAGAACTCACCGATTCCGGATTTGAATCCGGGCTTGCTGAAATCATAGTCTCTGATTTCACTGTACCAGTTTTCAGTGGCTTGCTCAACTGCAATAAAGGAAAGTTACTGTCAGTGTTGCACACAGGGACCTGACGATCTATT